TGGAGTGACAAAAGTTGTGTGATAATATATTGACAACAATGACCAGAAAATGGCAAAAAGAGTAGTTGCTGTGACTGCTTATATCCAGCTATACTCCTTGTGGGATTTGGCTCCTTGGCTTGGAGGCTTAGGGTAATGGTTTCCTGGAGCATCCTAGTTAACTGGCCTAGGAATGGTGTTTATGCTTCTGTTCTACCTCCTGGTTCATTGTTGAGTCCTGGGGCCTTCCACGTTGCCAGCTAAGGTCCCTATCTGCCTGGAGTGACAGAGGAAGAAGGAGGGTCAGGAACAGGAGGAATATGTGGCATTACCTCCTTTGTCAGGAGGCCAGGAAAAGTAGATGGTACCCTGCTACATTACCAGATTGTTAATCAAAGACCATAGAAGAATTCTGATCAAAATGGAGGACATACAGAACAGATTTTCAAAATCTCATGGACTCTAGATTTTCTGGAACCATGGAAGCCCTGAGATCATCTTTATAGCTTAAATAAAAAATATTTCTTGAAGTCCTTTCAAAATCAGCTTCACTACTACGCAAGTCAGCCTTGAGGGCTAATGCTCTTTTACCAACTATTTCTATGGGATAAAATTGACAACATCGGCTTGAACGATTGGGTAGGAACCCCAGGGGCCCTGAGTTTCTATTGGAACTGAGTAGGGGGCGGGGAGGAAAGTCAGCAAATGCAGATGAGACAGTTGCACAAGTTAGAGCGTCATCAACATCACTGGTTTACGGGGAGCAACTGTTGAACTGCTGAGTCGGCGTGTGTTTTGCTGGGTAAATTCTCAACAACAACTAAATAAATACAATTTAGGAGGGGGTGGGGGGGTGGGGGGTGAATCATTGGCCATTTGGCTGTGTCTGCAGGCATGGTCAGTGACTGCCCTCTCCCCTGTTCCCTTTATCTGGCAGCCCCTCCTGGATCATATCTGCCCAGTCCCTCTCCCCACCCCCCTTACTTCTCTGCTGTGGACAAAAGGGTCCTCAGCTGAGAGCAGAGACTTGGAGACAGAGATTTGGCAAGGCCACTGGGTTGGAGCTCTGCCCCCTTCCCTAGCCCTAGGTGCCAACCAGCACAGGCCACAGGCATTCTGAAACAGTGCCTGAAAAAGCACTGAGTTCAGGATAACAAATCTGCTAGAACTCTCCCCCACACTGGCAAGTATTTTCCTGCCAGCCCATGGCACCAATGCTGTCACCAGACATGGGGCCCACAGCAGGGCACAAAGGGTCCTAGGCATGCAGACAGGTGGGAAACCACTCAGAGATACAGAGGACTTGGGCTGTGGACAGTGGGCAGAGAGTTGTAGGGAGGCACAGAATAAGCAAAGGCCCTGAGGCAGAAGCCTCCCTGGGGTTGCAGGGTGGGACAAGGAGAGAGGTGGGGGTTGTCGCCTTTGTGAAGGGTAACTGACTAGAAAGGGGGCAGGGCTGAGGCACCCGAGGGTCCAGGACACCTCAAGCCACACCCAAGTCAAGGCCACTCCTCTTTATGAGCAGCACCTCCTCCCATGCCATCCTGCCCCCTGGGCACTTACACAGGCAGGCACAGATGGCTGACCTGAGTGGCACATAGTTCACGGTGGAGACTTCACCAGGCAGAAAATCAGAGATTGTGGTTTCTGGAAGCCACCCAGCCCATACTTGTGCAGGTGACTGCCAGGACGCACCACCACACTCACTCCAATGGCCCTCTAGCCCATGTTTCTTAGTAGAGTCCTGCCTGAAGGGAAGTGAGGGACAGGATGAGAAGTTGCCAGAAAGAATGGATGATTTGAACTCCAGATGTAGGGAGGGGATAAGGATGCTTCATCAGCTTCGGCCTGGGCTTTCCTGCCAATGTATAATTAAAAGTCTCTCCCCTTATGGATCTGAGTCCAGGAACCTCCCCCAGCTGCAAAGCTAATATGAAAATGGCCTCAGAATGCTAATTACCCCTTGGGTGCTTGGTTAGGACAAACGCTGAAATCCACTGGTGAATGACACACAGGATTCTCACAGAAGTAAAAGACACAAGGAAACAGCTCTCCAGGAGTGAGGGCAGCAGAAAAGAAAGGGTGATTTCAGCCTTCCAAGACCTCTAGCTTGGGGGTGGGAGAAAATGTGATTAACAGGACGCAAAGTTGTATAAATGACGCCAATAGGTGAGAGAACACAACAGGCAGCTTTGCGATGGAATCAGAGAAGTAGTGTCCAAGAAATTCAAGTCAGTTCCAGCTCAGGGCCATTCTAGAGGACAGAAGAAAACTGTGCCTTTGGGTTGCCAAGCCTGCCAATCTTGAGGGTTGCAGACAGCCTCCGTTTTCTCCCATGTAACACCTGGGGGTTCGAACCACCCAGCTTTGGGGGAGCAGCTGAGCACTACTGTCTCCCCCCACCCCCCAGCGCCTTTCACTGGAATTTTAAAAATTCAAAATGGACACAGTGGAAGAGAAAATCAGTGACTTAGTGAGCAGAAATCTCCTAGAATTCAACCCAGAGACTATCAGATGGAAGGCAGTCCAGGGAGATTAAAGAGACAAATAACAAGATGAAAGGTTCAGCATGTGGCTCCCAGGAGGTTCAAAAATGTGGGGGGCAGTCAGATGCTTAGACCTCCTCCCTAGAGTCAGACTGCCATCTCCCCACACCACAGGGGCCGGCCTGCTCCCCACTGCTGGAGACAAAGGATTATGTCTCCCTAAAGCTTGCAACCATTAGCTTGGTTCCTGTAGGTGGAGTTCACACCATACTGATAATGGTTCATATGGAGATCCAGAAAACAGGTCAAAGTTAAGCTGCCATCCTAAATCTAGGATCCGCCCATCTTGTCACATGTATACCCCCAATCCCTCCTCTTCCTATGTCCATATATCACCCCCTCCTATTATTGTATTACCTATAGCACAACCCCTTCCTGTGACGTATGTCTTCACCTGTAATTAGGGTGCTGGCATGTCCCCAGAGAATATAAAAGCCTTGGTTAGCATTAAATATTCTCTCTCTTTCTCCACGTGGACCACCAAGCGGGGCTGAGGTGAGCAATGCTACCATGTAATGTGTCTGACTGCACTATTGTATCTCTCATGCTCTCGATGACTTTAATATAATACTTATACATCTCAACCGTACAATTGTGCTTACTGAACCCGTGAGTAGTGGTGGGGGGCTGGCCCCCCATCCTCATACTACACAGAAAGAGAAAATAAAAGAATGGAAGAGAAGCCACATTTGAAAAGATAACAGTGGAGAGTTTTCTAGAAAAACAGGACTACCCCAAGAGTGTTATTCAAAGAAGAATCAGAAACCCACATCTAAAGACAGTATAATATAACAGCATGATGCCCGAAGAGAAGACTTCAGAGAGAAAACGCAGACGACAATGGAAGGACCAATAAACCATCATTTCTCCCCAGCACAGAAGCGAGGGGCCAGCCGTCAAAGGGCTGATAACCTTTGACGAGAAAGCCTCTGACAAACTTAGCTTCTACATCCTCTTTTTCTTAATTAACATATATGTCATATCATCCCACAATTCAATCATGTCAAGCAGAATTGTACAATTGCTACCACAATCAGTTTCCAACCATTCCTTTTCTACCTGAACTCCTTGACATGTCTCCCCTTTGTTTTTGAAGGCTTCCAAAGAGCCAGCAAATTGAGTGCTCCCCACCCCACCCCGACACAGATAGTGCTTTAAAAATACAAAAGGAAAAAAAAATAAAAATAAGAATACAAAAGGAAACACAATTGTGCACGTTCACTTTGTGTCTCTGTGGCACACATTGGACCTTCTCACACTATTTCCAATTCTTTTCATACTGCGAGGGAGAGAGGTGAGGCTGTCAGCACCCATCAAGAAGGACAGCCTCAGAAACGCACAGGGCCAGTTCTACTCTGTCTTACAGGGTAGCTATAACTCAGAATTAACTCTTTAACATTATACACTCTGCATGTGAAAGCTGCGCAATGAATCAGGAAAACCACGGAAGAATGGATGCATTTGAATGATGGTGTTGGTCAAAGAACATTGATGATATGATGAACTTCTAGAAGTACAGCCAGAATGCTCCTCAGAGCCAAGGATGGGAGACTTCGCCTCACAGACTTTGGACATGTTATTAGGAGAGACTGGTCCCTGGACAAGACCATCATGCTTGGTAAAGTAGAGGAGCAGCTAAAACGAGGAGATGGATCGACACAGTGGTTGCAACCATGGGCTCAGGCATAGGAACAATTGTGAGGGTGACACAGGACCGGGCACTTTCGTTCTGTTGTATGGGTCAGAACTGACTTGATGGCACCTAACAACACTACTGGACACCTAATAGGCTACCAAACGCAAACCCAGTGCCATTAAGTCAATGCCGATGCACAGCAACCCTATACATGGTTCTCAAAACTGTAAGTCTTTATAGACGCAGACAGCTTCATCTTTCTCTCCAGGAGTGGCTGTAGGCTCGCAGCCCTGATCTGCAGTTAGCAGTCCAACATGTACCCGACAGCACCTTCAGAGTTCCTTGTACTAGCGTCCTGCCAATACCACTGGGGTGGGCTGGGGACAGACTCCCAGTTTCTGAGGTCTGCCTGCCTATGGAAGAAGGTAAGTGAATATGAAGGGAGTATGGAGGTGCCTAAGGAATGGCACCAACTGGGTAAAGCAACATGCCCAAAGCCCGAGATCCAGCCTGCCCCGGGCCTGGCTGCACTGGAGCAAACTGGTTCTCTGTGGGCAGGGCTCTGGGGAGGAGGAAGCTGTTGATTAACCTAAGCCTCTCTGAAGACAAAAGACTAAACATAGAATGTATGCTTTGGTGACCAGCCGAGAAGGGCAGGGTAGGACTCAAGATGTGGCAGAGGGCTAAAACAAGAGGCAGGCCAGCTGCCCGGCCACTCGGCACTCTGGCCAGGTCTCTTTCCTCTGCAAACTCAGCCAGAAGGCACCGTAGTTAATGCTGCTGTGAGCCCTCCCTCCTCCCCTGCCCCAGCAGGATACATGGGGTCCCCGGGCTCTCACCTGACTCTGAGTAACCAGTGGCGGTGATGATGGGGACGGCCACCATGAGCAGGCCTGAAGCGCTCCAGACATACTTCATCAGGAATTGCTCCAGCATGACATACCACAGGCGTTCCAGCAAGATGAGGTTGATATGGGAGGCCAGGTCCTTATAGGAGAGCTGCAGCAGGGTCAGCTCGACCTGCCGGGCCACCAGAGATCAGAGTGAGTAGGGCTGGTGACAATGGTGTGGACCCACCCCACCAGCCGACGGGCCCCACCAGGCTGAGTTTACAGGGGGTAGAAGGCTCGTCCAGCAGGAGCACAGTGGAGTGACGAAGGGGAGAAATTACAGGTCCATGATTTGCCACAAAACTTCGGCTTATTAGGAAAAGCTGCACTTATCTTCAAGCAGATGAGAGGGCGTGCCTGTCGATGGAGCTGGGGAGCCTGGGCCTGTGTCCACGGGGACACCAGCCAGCAGAGGTAAACTGCACCTCGTGCCTGCACAGCCAGTGTGCGCTCGGCCCACCTGGGCACGCAGACCCCAGGGGGGACCTGTTGGGGACATAGGTCCTGGGCCAGAAGACATCCTCGGGTCACCAATCCAGTTACTCCAGCCCAACCCCACCCAAGGCCCAGGGCTGCATCTTCCATTCCTGAGCCCAGCCCCACAACAGACTGGAGCTGTGAGCTGGCAGGAGCCCCAGCCAGGGCTGACAATGTAGCCGCGGGGAACGTGCTAACCTCACCCAAGGCCACAGCTTTGGCGGCCTGCCAAGGCACTGCCAGCCCCAGTTTGGGAGCAAGAGGGTCACAGCCCAACACCGGGCTGATCAGCAGCCATTTCCTTGGCCCGGATGCCCCTCTGCCGACCAGGAGGTGAGGGGCAAGCCATTCATGTCCCCATGTCTGGGACTAACTCGCTCCAGGGCCCTGAGTGCAAAACCATTGAGATAAGATCGGGGCTCTGAGAGTGCACACAGGGGGACAGAGGCCATTGCGCCCCTCCCCCCAGGACCGAAACCAGAGTCTCCAGAAGGCAGCTGCAACCCCAGCACAGGGAAGGGGAGGAGCGAGGCGAGATAAAGAGCGGCTGGCCGCGAGTAACCTCACCTCGCCCCTCAGGCTGCTGCCCAGGGGAACTGCGCCCCGGGCCAGGCGGAAGGGCGGCACGCCAGAGGCAGCCTGGCAGGAAGTGCGTCCCTTGGTGGCGGGGGCCCTGGCGGCGGGCTCCTGGGGGCAGCTGTGACCCTCAGCGCTGCGCCTGCCACCAGGACACTACTCATTAACCTCCGCGTGGGCTGAGTCATGCCCATAATGCCTGCCGCTGGACGCGGCCCCGGCTGGCCTTCAAAGGACCGAGGGCCCGGCCAGGAGGCCTGGCAGCCCACTTGTCCCACCGCTGGCCAGCTGCTGCTGCTGCAGGGGCGGCCTGGTGGGAGCTGGATTGATCCTGCTAGGCTGGCGGCCCAAGGCTGCCAGGAGGAAGCAGAAGTGGCTAGGCTCAGACAGGCGGCTGGCCGGGGCAGCCCCACAGGCCTTCCTGCTTCTCTATTTCCGTGGCTCATCGGGACCAGGCCGGGTCCCAGCCCCTTTCCCTACCCCGGGCCTCTGGCCATCCGCACCTCATGGCCCCCATAGAAGGCGATCTCCTCCGAGTTGGCCACTACACGGGAGTGCATGTAGCGCAGTTCCCCCTTCCGTCGCGCTTCCTCGGCCACCAGCTCCCCGAACTTGGGCGAGAAGGCCCGCAGCACGTTGGCCGTGAGGAATACCACGAGGCCAGCGATGGCCAAGGGCCAGGCTGTGCCGGCCCCACGTGAGCGTGCAGCGCGGAGCAGGGTGTAGGCGGTCACGGCCACGTCCAGCAGCGGCTTGGTCAGGTTGGAGTAGAGGTGGGCCACCGAAGCGGCGAAGGCCACCACATCCTCCGTCAGGGACTGGTCGGGGTTGCGCAGCCGCCCGTCCATGTTGCTGACTCGGTAGTAGGTCTGCTGAGAGAAGTAGAGGCTGTAGGCATGGGCCACCAGTCGGCTGCGGAAGGCCAAGGCCAGCTGGCCCTCCAGGTAGCGGATGGCACTGTTGATGAAGGTGGCCGGGAGGGCGATGAGGAGCCATTGCAAAAGCTGCCAACCGAAGGCGTGTGGGTCCTTGCGGACGATGCAGCGGGCCAGGCGGCCGTCCAGTTGGGCCACATAGACGGACAGGAAAGTCCGGCTGACCAACGTGGCCGAGTGCAGCGCCAGCAGCCCAGTCTCCCGGCACAACAGCCTGGGGAAGATGAGGCGCAGGAGCCACAGGAGCCGCTGCAGGAACGCCCGGTTCACGCTGGCCTTGGCTGCAGTCGTGAGGGCCTCCGGTTGGGGGTCTCCTGCCGGCCCTGGGGGGGCCCTGGCTAGAGCCAGGCACTGCCGCGCCAGTGGGTAGAGTTTGTGGGCGCCATAGGCGGCGAGGGCCAGGACCACGGCTGTGCGCTTCAGCGTGGTGGCCCTCGAGGGCTTGGGAGTGGAGAGCACCGGCATGTCACCTGGCTGGCCCCTGCCGGTCGGGGGACTAGTGCCTGAAGCAGCAGTCGAGGCAGGTGGCTGGAAGGCCTTGCAGTGGTCACTCGGCCTGCTGCTTCAGGCAACTGGGGTGTGGCTAGAGTCCCTGCTGGGTGGTGCTGGGTGGGCTCAGGGCCCCCCAGGGTCGCGAGGCCTCTGTTGGGAGCTGAGCAGAGGACTTGGGCTCCCCTCCACGCAAGACCCCTAGCCCCTGCGTCAGGGAGGGCGCCTCTTTCCCGTCACCTCTTCCTACCCCAGTGGAGCCCCCTCCTGGGGTCCCAGGCGCGTCCGTCCGCTCCACAGCCTGGCTGAAGCGACAGTGACTCCGCCACCGGCCCATAATCCCCACCCACCGCCCCTCCCTCCCTCCCCAGGGGCGAGTCGGGGAAGGGGCGGAGGCAGAGGCGGGGCGGG